ATTAATTCCTCTTGTCTATGAACTGGTTTATCGTGGTGATTTCAGATGAATTTTTTGCTTTCAGCTCCCTTATCTAATGAAGGTTGACTCCAAAGGCTGAATGACCATTGCCAGCTCCTGGGTTCATCTACTAGCCAGGTGGCACAGATGATTCTTTGATTGTTCTTAAATGTTTACTTTTAAAGCTAAATTAACAGAGGTGTTTTGTCTCAGACCAATAAGAAGCCTGTTTCTGGTTGGAATAAGTGGAAAGTATCACATTGGCTAGTTGCTAGGGCTGCTCTATTGTTCTAATGTTAGGTATATTTTAATTAAGCCTATAAGGAGCTGATGGCTCTTCATTTCAGGATTAGCATGGTATCAAGTGATGATTCAGACACAGACCCAAGCAGGAGCCTTTGAAGAGCTTATTGTGTTGTGCCAGTAATAGAAGCTAATCACTAGTAGCTGTTCCTCATTTGTGTCAGCCCTGCTTCCCCATACAGTTACAGACATCATATGGGTGGGCTTTTCAGTGACTCCCAGTCATATGAATCCATAGTTAGTCTAAAAATATACAACAAGGGAAACATTTTGGATCCTTAAATTTTGCGGAATGGACTTTCACTGCAGAACACCCAAAGACTTGGAACTACTTTTGCAACCATTTTGGTCCTTACATTTTTCTGGTACAGAAGGCCATTCAGAATCTTTTCATTGCAGAACATCCAAGGACTCAGAACCATTTTAAAAAGCTGATAACACCCAACGGTTTAGCCTGCAAAAGTAATTGAAGACCAGCCTTTTATTTTTAGTCTGCAGTTTGGGATTTTTAAATGACTCTCTGCTGCCAAGTAATTACTTCAGTGTGTGCGCCTGAGGTTGGCTGAGATGTCTCTTCTGCTTAAGTAATGCTGGTGTAGCAGGGAACCGTAAAACAAAAAAACAGAGGAAATGACACAGATTAAATCTAACAGCCTTTTTTTCAAGAGCTTGTTTACTTTTATTTTTGGAAAGATCCCACAGAAAGATATGCTCTTTAATCTTTAAATCCAGATGATGGAAAGTCTTCTGCCACATGATCCCTTCTTTAGGAAAATGTTGAGGAATTCAGATTGATTTTAAGCTGCTGATGTTTTCCTATTTTGTATAGCATCAAAGTATACTGGAACCTACATAAAAAGGATATATGAAATTGTTCACTATGGGGAATTAACTCCAGTGCCACTGTTATTTTGATAAACTACAAGAATCTTCCGTGTTCAATATTTGATAACACTGTGTTTCATCTTTTGATAGAGTGTTTAGTAAATTTTGTTCTGCATGGATCCAAACATGTTTTCTTCACAAAAGACACTAGGCTATAAGAATTAAGCAGTTCTTTGAATCTCCTTACAGATGATTATGCCTCTCTAGCTATTGGATTAGACCCTTCTCTTTTTTAACAAATTTGAAAACTGGAGTAAATTTAAATAACATGCATGTGCTGGGTAAAGTAACATTATTTTTAATAGATATGCAGATACATGATAAACTGTGCTTAAAGCAAATTAAAAATCAAATGGTTTGTGAAAGACTTGGAATAAATCAGGATCTATTAAAGTTGACAGGGACTACCTGGGTCTAACGGCCTGCTCAGCTACAAATATCACCAGGTGATCCTGGACCCAGTTACTATTTCTCAGCATAACCTACTTCACGGCGGTATTGTGAAGATTACAGTGGGATGATACTGAGTTATTTGGAACATCATCAGAATACAAATGTCATAGAAAGACAAATGTGGAAGTCACCCATTGTACTAACCAGGAAGACATTTAAGAGTTGGAGAACTAGTAAAATTCAGGGCTTAATGTATGCTAATCATTACATCCATTTGAAAAATGGTTGTTGAGTGTGCAGAAATGCTAGGTCAGGGTAAACAATAATGAAGGGATGGAGCAGGAGTGAGTCTGTGGAAATGGCTTGTAGTCTTATAGTAGGACATCTGCTTCTCATGCCCAAAGTCCTATTTTGAAATTGGATGTCTCTGATTAAATGTCTTGGAGTCAGATGTTAGCAAAGACCTGCTGGTTAGAGTAAATGACACCAAGAAATACAAACCAAGAGGCTGACAAGGTATAAGCAGGGGTCATTTCCTGCAGGAGCGCACAGGAGTGGAGCTCCGGCAGTAAAGAGCTCAGGGGGCAGGCACATGCAACAAGCCCCACCCCCTGCTCCCAGCAGCCCTCAGTCAGAGCAAGAAGCAGCCAGGTAAGTCGCAGAGCCCCCCCCCAGCCCCCCGGCCCAAAACAGTCCAGTGGCACCTTTAAGACCAAGTTTTATTCAAGTACAAGCTTTCTCTCCTCTGTGAGGACAGATCTGCACGTTCCCCCCCCCCCAATAGCTAGCAATCCAAAGCAGTCCAGTGGAGCCTGAATGGTGGGTGTTGCCTTCTGACACACTTCTGGTGACGTCAGGGGGTGTGACATATGCAAATAAGTTATGCTAATGGGTTATGCTAATGAGCTCCTGCACCTCTTTTTCTACAAAATGACCTCTGTTATAAGACAGTTTCATATCTTTAAGTTGAATCTAAATATCCTGTAAAAACCTTGTTACGTACCTTCACAATACATTACCCCTCCATCACCTGTGAGTCCTGCCAGTAGAGAACAGCGTGCCAGCATGAGTTTTTAAACCGTCCTGGGTATAAGACAGTTTCATATCTTTAAGTTGGATCTAAATATGCTGTAAAAACCTTGTTACGTACCTTCACAATACATTACCCCTCCATCACCCGTGAGTCCTGTCAGTAGAGAACAGTATGCCAGCATGAGTTTTTAAACCGAGCTTTTCTGCACTCTTATTTTCATTGCTTGTGTCCCCCTGTTGCTTCCGGCAGGAGTTCTTTTCCACACGTTTCCCTCTAGCTGTTGCTTCAATATTACATTGCTGTTTCTCCAGCTAATTTCCCAAAGTACAATGTAATATCGAAGCAACTGCTAGAGGGAAAAACACACATGTAGAAAAGAAAGAAAACCAAAGCAATAGGGGCACACAAGGGACAAAAATAAGACTGAGGAAAAGCCCTCAGCCAGGAATGGGAGCTAGGAAAATCACTTGTTTCTCTTTGTCCTTGACTTTGAAGTTGGACCACTGCAGGAGATGAGTAGCATCAGAGATATGCACATCTTCTGGCTTTGGTTCTTCCTCACTAACGTTTCTTTAAGGGAAGAGAGCCACTGAGCCACAGGAGAATCTACATGACAGAAGCCTCATTCTGAGCTTTGAGAGTGTGGCTGCTGCCTGGGTACTCCTGCTCACCAAGATGGCAGACAGCAAGAAGAGGTAGAATGAAAAGCAGTTAAGGGTGAATGGTTGCAGGGTTTATATAGGAGAGGGAGGAGGGAAGGGAGGAAGGTAAAGGGGCTGAGTCTAACATGGAGGTGAAAAGACACAGAATGAGGAGAAAAAGGAGGCAGTTGAAGGCAGCTTTCAAGGCAAGGGAGGGAACATGGTGAGAAATAGAATGGGAAGGAAAGTCAGAGGGGACACTGAGGAGAGGGGGACATAACCAAGGACTATTGGGATAGGAGGCACAGGGAGAAGAGGGGCAAAAGCTTTTCTTTCTCACTTTGCATGTGATCCGTTTTTACAGGTCTCTCAGTTGTATTCAGTTATTTATAAGGAGCAAATCTGCAGTAATTGGATAAATAGTGAAGTTAGGCCCCGGTCACACGGGAGGCTTTGGCCCAGGAGAGGGACGGATTGGGGGCGCAGCAAACGGGCATGATCTCACCGCAACATCTGGGAAGCGGCACGCACCCATCCTGATCCGTCCCTAAATCCGGAAAACCCGCTGCAAAAAAGAACCTCCTACAGAGGAGGACTTACCTGAAGCACCGCTGCAAGCGTGGCCGTGGGATCGCCACCACGCCCGTTGTCCGGATCAATCCAGGCTTCTGGCCGAACTGCGCATGCACACACGTGCAGTTCGGCTGTCGCGCTCTTTCTTCAGTGGCTTCCCACCCCCGGCATCTGATCGTGCCGGGGAGGAAGTGCACGGCTGCTCAGGTGATCTATGTGATCCCGCTGCCGCATCTTTCTTTTGGTGTTGCTTTAGAAAGTCACACTTTGCCTGTGCTATTCCCCCCCGTGTGGCAGGGGCCTTACTTGAGTATATCTTAGATATATTTGTCTTCAAGTTTCTTTTTTTTCCCTCACAAAAATCTCGCTGCTTTAACCACTATGATTTACTACATTAAGGGAACTAAGATATATCCATTTGCTGTTTCCCATAAAAATTGTTAGCCTTAGCACTGAGAAGTTAAACATGGGCTGTGGTCACACTGGCAGCTTAGTGTGATATGGCAGTACCTCTAATTGCACCGGCTTAAAGTGTTGTAGGGCATACCAACGAGACAGCACACCCTGCTGTGGGTTACCTGTGCAGCCATCTCATGGTCAAGCATTCACAGTAGTGTTGTGCGTCAGCCACGGGACGCACTGTGCCAGTGGGATTTTTTTTAAAAAAAATTACCATTGTGCATGCACATAAGCATATAACTGTACAACCACTTCTGTTAGCTAGCTCTGCAACCCATGAATGAGACAGAAGTGCCCGTTCACACTTCCCTTCTGTGTTCCTTTTGGACCAGGAGAGTTCAGACATCAGACAAAATGGAGTGGAAGTACTACCACCCCTTAATACCAGACTTTTCCTGTTGCCTGATTACTCTGGTTCTAACGCAGAGTGGGGTGGGCTGCCGACATCTGGGTCACGGAATGCAGATGTCGATGTATGATCAAGACCTATAACTCTACACAGATAACACTACTATATCGCAACAAACTGCTTGTGTGACTGCAGCCCTGGAGAACTATTCACTTGTGAAACTACCAAAGCTTTGTAACATTTTAAAATATGACATCCTTCCTTCCTTCCTTTCTTTCCATTTCAAATGGCAGTTTTCTGAATGAAGTCTGTTTTAAAATCTTCTTCTGATTTCCTTTCTTATCTTTTGATATATTTTTTACAGTTCATCATGCTGACATACATCTTCATGCTTGCCTGGCTGGGAGTTACAGCTTTCACCTCTCTGCCTGTTTACATGTACTTCAATCTGTGGACTATTTGCAAAAACACCACTGCAATGGATGGGGCACCCCTCTGCTTAGACCTCCGTCAATTTGGTAAGTGAAAGATTAATTACAACAATAAAACAGTCACTGAAATGCTTGAATTACTGTTACAAATCTTGAGTTGGTTCTAATCTTGATAAGCCAGGGCCCCAGACGTACCTTGGGCCCTATTTGCTGGCCCATGGGGACAGAGGAGTAGGCGATGCATTGTTTGGCAGGCCCGGGTAGCATGGTTGGGAGCTTGTGGAGATACCTCCGGGGCTGCACGGTACTCTCTGCCTCCCAAACACACACTGCCGTGCCAATTAGGCACAGCCTGATGCAGCCGGTGGGGGCAGGCCCAGCCCAGATTTAAAGGGGCTTGTCACGCTGCATGGGCCCTGGTCTACTCAAGGTAAGGGTTCAAGGTGTGAGAGTTCTTTCACTGTTCATGGAAGCTCATCCCCTGCCACATATTTTGTTAGTATTTAAGGTGATACTGGACTTTAGTTGCTGTAGATTTTCCGGGTTGTGTGGCCATGGTCTTGGCATTGTAGAACCTGACGTTTCACCAGTAACTGTGACTGGCATTCTCAGAGGTATAACACAGAAAGATTGAGTACTCTCTGTGTCAAGGTGAGAAGAAAATGGTAGGCAGGTAATTTATATCTACTCCAGAAGGTGGGGTAGGGCTGAGTCATTATCTTGTAAGAGTTCCCCAGGCTATGAACATGCTAATGGAGGAGCTTTCCTGAGGAGGTTCTTTTGTATTTGGGTTGTTTCCTGAGGAGGTTTCCTGTTTCCTGAGGAGGTTCTTTTGTATGTGGATTGGCTGTTGAAATTCTAATCTTATTTGTAGTGCTATTGTCAGATGTAGAGCCTTTTGTGTTTTTCAGGACAGGAAACCATGCCCTATTTATTTTTAAACTCTTCTTTCCTGTTGAAATTGTGTTTATGTTCATGAATTTCAATGGTTTCCCTGTGTAATCTGACATGGTAATTGGAAGTGTTGTCCAGCCTTTCAGTGTCTTGGAACAAAATACTGTGTCCTGTTTGAGTCAGGCTATGTTCAGCCACTGCTGATTTTTCAGGTTGGCCAAGTCTGCAGTATCTTTCATGTACTTTTATTTTCGTCTGCATGCTACGCTGTGTGGTCCCATGTGTTTTAAATGGCTTTTGCCTGTCTTCCCTCAGTTGTTTGTTTTACCTTTGGTTTAATCGCTCTTGTAATTTCATTCTTGGAGTTGCCATTTGCTTGAAGTGCATGATTTAGATGATTTAGTTCGTCATTGAGAAAGTGCGGTTCACATATCCATCTTGCACGGTCTACTAATGTTTTGATTATGCCTCTTTTTTGCCAAGGGTGGTGATTGGAGTTTTTGTGTAAATAACGGTCCGTGTGAGTTGATTTTCTGTAGACCTTGTGACCCAATTGAAGGTTAGTTTTGTGGATGACCATGATATCTAGAATTTCAACAGCCAATCCACATACAAAAGAACCTCCTCAGGAAACAATCCATATACAAAAGAACCTCCTCAGGAAAGCTCCTCCATTAGCATATTCATAACTTGGGGAACTCCTACAAGATAATAACTCAGCCCTACCCCACCTTTCACTGTGGTTTTAGGCTGGCCACTACTGATGACACCTATCTGGGCTTCTCATTTTTAACTGGTCCACATCTCACAGACTTTTCCATGCTGCCTTTTAAGCACAACTCTTTTGCAGTTTTTCAATAGCCAAACCCTTAATTCTTGGCCCTAGGTATCTTTCACTTTAGCTCCACTGTATATTTTAATCTAGTCTGGATAGCACCGTCTTGACTGTGTAGCAAGTTTGGTTAGCATTCAAAGATCAGTTTTTTGTAGCTTATCCACAATGGTGGAACTTTTCAAATTTGAAAAGATGCTGGGAGATCAGGAAATGGATCTTCCATACATTTTAAAATATTCTTTTTATATGCTCCCCTTTTGGGACTAATAACAACTGGGCAGGGAGTATAATCTCAAAATGAAACCATGCAGAGGTAAAGGGCTAAATGCCAATCCAAACTGGGGTCCCCAAGGATGCAGTTTATCTCGTAAAATGCTGGGCAGATCTGCCATGGACTTCTCAACATCCTAACTAATTTGGCTATAACTTTCTAGCTCGTTTAAACAATTTTGTCTGATGTATTTTGAAAGGTAGCTGGGTTTTTGATCTGTTATAGGTATTGTAACAGTTGGAGAAGACAAGAAGATTTGTTCCACATCTGAAAATTTCAGTAGAATGTGTGAATCTACTGAGGTGAGTAAAAGTGCTAAAGGTCTTCCCATTGGAGATAAAAGCAAATGGATTTACATTTTGTTGACACTTGAAGGGAGCAATTTAACGGAGTAATGCTGAAACCATTCTTATCACAAGGTCTACTAAAGTGTTTGAAGTGGTGTTGGCACAAAAGTTTATGGATAGGAGACCAGGGTAGGTCTACACACAAGAGAACTACACAGAAGAGAACTAAGCAGCTGCTTGGGGCATCAGATTTTGAGGACAAAATTACAGAAGAATGAGACAGCTATGACTTGTGACCAACATTGCACCCCAGATCAGCCCCACTGTGAACATTGTTTCTGGGCGATGCAGCAAAGACATACCCCACAATACCTTAACTACTCTGCTTATTGCATTTGAGAAAGAAAAGTGCTAAGAAACTGGCCTTGCTTAGCTGTTTCTTGGCCTTCCAAGGTTTGGTTCAGGCTTTGAGCTTAGTCAAGTTACTGAAGGCTACCTCCCTGGGAAATTAATGTCATACTCAGGGCTGGGCTTTTTTGCACCCTAGGCAAGGCTAACTACTTATGCCCCCCCCACACACACACACTGCTAACCAATTTTCAAAAAGAGATGAATTGTAGGAAAAATAAAAAGCACAAAACTTGAAATTGCTATTTTTTTTTAAAGCGAGAATAAGTAATACAAGAATCCTTGGCTTTCTTTCACAAACAGAAAACAGTTTTAGCACACAAATCACAAATCATTTTGAATAATCTTGTGAATTGTGGTGTTAAAATTCAAGTCTTTTGAATGTTTCCATTTCAGGCACATCAAAAACTCATTCTGTGTGCCTTTCCCTTTGCAAATTTTGTCACCAATTCCTTCAGGTTAAGTGCTGATGCTTCCGCATGTTCAATTGATACACTTGCCCAACCAAGTAGTCTCTTTTGCAGCATTGTTGAGTGTATGTATGTTTTTATAAGTTTGAGCTTTGAGAAACTGTGTTCACCACTTGTCACTGACACTAGAAGTGTGAGAAGGATCCTTAGAGCAACAGAAACATTAGGCACACTATCCAGGAGTTTTTGTTGTAGTAGGAAGAGAAGTACTCCTTGTGGTGGCATAGACATTGGAAGTCCCAAATCACTTCTACTACTCCCAGGGGCTGTCATTCCACTATGGGGGCTGTCATTCCAGTTCCAGAAAACATCTGCTACTTCCAAGGGCTGTCATTCCACTATAGGCCTGTCATTCCAGTCCTAGAACACTTCTGCTACTCCCTTTTGAATGTTTGGAATCCATGGAATCCATGCAAGTGAATTGGCATTATACCTGGCCCCCATTATTTCCAATGGGCCTTCAAGCCTCTTCCATTGTTTTCAACAGGCAATCCTGTCATTCCTTTTAATACATCCCAACTTCACTTCCCCCTCTCCTGCTAACTGCTGAGCTGCTCTAGCCAATTGCATAGAGATTTATGAAAGGAGGATTCACACTGTTTACCTCAACCTCCTCCTTTTTTACTAGAAAATTTACACCTGATAGACATGTGACAGATTTCACACCCTAATGTTGATTGTCAGTTCTGCACCCCTATGAGGTCTGTGCCCTAGGTGGCTGCCTAGTTGGCCTAATGGTATCACCAGCCCTGGTCATGGTGACTTGCAGTTTCCAGAGAGAGATAAGGCATCAAGTGGAATCAAACACAAGTGCATATGAGATCATGGGCCTGGGAGCTTCAAGGCCAGAGACCTAGAGGGAATTTCACACTCATATTCCATCTCATTAGCAGAAGGAACCCTGCGTGTGGGAAAGTTGTTTCATTGTGAATGCATGTTAGCTGCAGAGGTTTGTGGTCACATGTCTTAGCAACACACCTGATTGTCCAGGATCAGGCCAGCTGTGGGCAGTCTGGCATAAAGCAAGACTACTAATTCTGGTTTGGCACTTCTAGCCATCCTTTTGACAGTAAGTTGGGCCTTGTGTGGCCGGAATACCTGTTCCTCGATTTTTGGACCCTGAAGTTCTATCTGCACTTTGTATCTTCAGTCTGGCCAGGTGACATCGGGGTCAGAGAACTAAAGACTGAAAAAGTCTTCTAGATTAGCTACTCAGTTTTATTATTTTCTTCCCTGTTTTGCACTGTTTCTGTTTTTGCACATTTCTTTTAATAAACCTTATTAATTATACTTCTTCAGTGTTATTTGGATTTTGGTGCTTCAGTCTAAATCCAGTATCCTGGTCTATTTTGGCTACAGCTACCAAAGTGATTCTTTGTGGAACTCAACTTGCAGGTATCCTACCTTGCAGGGCTGACTTCTTGATTAATACCCAGTAGGGCAGGGAACTTGGTCCCTCAGCAGAGAGTTTACAGAGTCTGGTTGTGAGTCATTATCATGGGCAGTGAGGATTCACTCCCCAGTTTTGTGCATTTTGCTTTTAACCTGTACCCCAAAGCCTTCTGGTGGGACAAAAGAGTAGGAATTAGGGAAGAGCTATGGGGAAAATCATGACATCTATTAGCCTTCTCTGAAAAGCTAGATTCGAATCCAGTAGCACCTTACAGGCCAACATGATTTTCAGGGTATAAGCTCTCAAGAGTCAAAGCTCCATCGGATTCGAGCTCTGACTCTTAAATGTTTATGCCCTGGAAATCTTGTTGGTTTGTAGGGAGCTACTGAACTTGAGTCTAGCTCTTTTGCTTCAAGACCAACATGGCAACCCTCTGAAACTACCTTCTCTGAAGGGATCATGTACTTTGAGAAATCCTTAGTTATAACTTACAAAAATGGTCCCAGCCACATCGGGAGTTTTACATTGCAACATTAAAAATTTTTTACTGGTCTTCAGGGGCAATGAAAAGAAGAACAGGAATTCTTTACTCATGTCAATAGTGGGTTCATTGTTTAATTCTCCGAACAGCAACATCAAGGCAGAATTACTGTACAAGGTGAATTGTGCTCAGTGATCCTTATAATACTTTTGATTTTTCAGGGTGTTTTTAATTTGCAACTTGCTTTCCTTGTTGCTTTTGCAGCTGAACATGACATTCCATTTGTTTATTGTGGCACTTGCCGGAGCTGGAGCAGCAGTCATCGCTATGGTAAGGGTTAGAAAGCGTTACCCTCAGAGTAAAGGTCATAACAAATAATGCTAAATACCTTTTGTGTGCCTAACATTTAATAATAATAAAAAATAATATTCCAGAGTTTTATGGTACCATCCATATTCTGTGTATTTTGGATGGGGAGAAGAATAACTTTTTCAGTGTGCGTGCGTGCACAGACACGTGCATATCATGTTATGGAACCATCTGTATTTTCCCCTGTCCCCTTAATACAAGAAACTCTGGGTGTCAGACTTGCCTCCCTCCCATTGTATCCTTATAACAGCACCCCATGGTAATCCAGTGAATTTCATGGCAGAGTGGGAATTAGAACCACAGTCTCCTCCAATCCTAGCCTGAAAATCTCACCACTGCACTATACTGGTAACTGGAAATCGCAGAACAGTTGATCTCTCTTCTTCAGTACATTTCACTCCATTGCAAGCTTGATTTTATGTTTTATAAGATGCATTGAACATTTTGGATTGGAAAGGTGTGGTAGAAATGTTTCAATAAATAAGAGATACATTGGATCCTTTTTAAAAAATCCATTTTTAAACAAAAAGTAAACACACAACGTATGTGAATATGCCTTATGCCAAGTCAGACAATCAGTAGCTCTCCAGGATTTCTAGGCACTGAGAGGTCATTTACAACATTTTTAACCCGTGACTCATTAACTGGGAATGCTGATTGAACCTGGAAACTTGCAAGGAAAGCATACCCTCTACCGCTGAGCCACAACCACAGTGCTAATAACCTGTTAAAAGATAACTTTGCTGCTAAAAAAGAGATACAAAGTTAATTTGAATAATTTACTAACAAGCTCAATTTTGAATAAAATAAATAGCCAAAAACTATTTTCATGTACTCAAGACAGGTAATATCTCTCAGTTTTCCATATTATTCCAGCTTTTGATGCAGTTTCAGACTTTTTCCATCAAGCACTAACCCACAGTAATGCAATTGTTGGGATATTTCTCACTAATTTCAGCTACTCTGCCTAACCATATCATATTAAAAAAACAGAGTAGAATTGTGTTATCTTCCACAGGAAACATATATCTTGTAACTCAGCTATTACATTTAATACTTTCATCCAAGGTTTTTGATCTATCCATCAATATTAGTTTGATAAATATGATTTATTTTACTTGTAGCCAGATACCATCAATACAATATTTATAGAACCATCTTCTTATTCGAAACAGAAAGCAAGGACCCACAAGGAATGTGCAGAATGTGGCATCCACCCCCCCTGCTTTTGCTTCTTCCCTTCCCCCCCACCTCTTCTCTCAGTCACTCTCTCTCTTACACACACTAAAAAACTTTCCCACTCTCTCTTTAACCTTCCCCTTTCTTTGTCACTTTTTGTCCCTCCCCATGAAAGTTGCGAGGGTATGGGGTGGCTCAGACACATGCCATCTTCGCCATTGCTATACCTGCCTGCCCCCCCCCCACTACTTGGGCTAACCAGCTCCATGCTCCCCACCACTTTATTCACTCACCCAGCAGTCCAGCTGTCTAGCTCCCATCATGGAGGAGGCAGAAAAGCAGCAAAATGGGGATATTGGAGTGGCAGATTCTCCCACCTTCCAAGGCTGAATGACAAAGGGGATTTGGCTCACCAAGTCACCCCCTTCCCTGATGCTGTGCCTGTGTGCCCATCTATTGTTCTCTCCACTGTTCTAGATGTCCATAACACACACACCCCATCAGTGCTTTCTCACTAAGTTGCTTGGCTCAAGATTTGGCAGAGGCAGTGGCAGCAGCTGTCATGGTGGGTTGTGTATTTGTGGTGGACTCTCCAACTGCTCCTTGCCCCCCCTCCACAGGTGGCAATGGAGATAGGTGGTTTGGGGGGGGGGAGCACAGGAAGCTGCGTACTCTTTCTCTGCCTGCCTAGGGCATTGATTTGGAGGCAGATGCACTTGTGCAGGCAACTCTTTGAGGAGAGGGTTGGCTTTCCCTCTTATTATGTTTTGGGATTCTCCTGAAAACCTGAAGGGGGGGCATGTTTGGAGAAAACCCCCTCTTCTCTCAGTGAGGCACCAGTCAGCAAATTTAGGTATACACAGATGAGGTAAAGTTGATTTTTAGATATATTAATGGTTCTGGATTATTCTGTACTGTGTATGCCAATTTGTTATCGTTTTTCCTCATCCCTGTACGAACTTGCCATGTTTTTTCTCTAATGTAGTTGGTGCATTCCCCCCAAAGGAAATCCAGTATTCATTTTAAATCTTTTGAAGCCATATTTAGATTAATTCCACCAATGTGAATATTTCAGTTAGTATTCCTGTAAAGCTGAGAGAGGAAATACCTGATCTGTAAGTGCTGGAAGACCGTCATACATTTTTGTACAACTTTGATTATAATTTGAGTCCAGGAGCACCTCAGAGACCAACAGAATTTTCCAGGGTATAAGCTTTCATGAATCAAAATTCACTTCATCATACAAGGCAAAGTATCTGATGATGAGAGCTTTGACTCAAAAATTGTGTGTGACTCAGTGGGAAATTGTGTTTGTCTCTAAGGTGGTACTAGACTCAGATTTTGTCTGCCCCTGCAGACTAACATGGCTACCCACCTAAAACTATCTTTATGGAAGATTTGATTATGTGATCTACCACATGTGAGGCCACAGCCTGCCTTCTCCCCAGACAATATTACACCAGTGGAAGAGAGTCGTTGGTTATCACATTCTTTATTCCTGATCATTGACAACAGTCATGACATTAAAAAAATATATCCTTTCCGACATAATTCCCTGAACCCTGACCAATGTTCCCTCTAAGCTGTGGAGTCTTGTGAGCAAGAATTCTTTTTTGTGAGCTACTGGCATTAAAGTTGTGAGCGAGCAATTTGACTACTGCATAAATTAGTTTGATCTGGAGCCCTCCTTCCTGAGCTAGGACAAAAATGTGTGAGCCGGAGGCTAAAAAAACTGTGAGCTAGCTCATACTAACTCATCTTAGAGGGAACACTGACCCTGACCACTGGCAGCTACTGTCCTCTCAGACATTTCTCATTTATCTGTCCTTCAAAACACCAGAAAGAGAATGTTTCTTGCCTCATGAGAAGGCAAGAAGGAAGGAATATCTCTGCATCTCATCTGGGTGGTCCGTCCAGAGCCTGTATAAATGAAATTATACCCTTTATAGATGAAATTGAAGAGTGTGGACTCTAGTCCATGCATCAGGCCTTGCTCCGGGAAGCAGCTGATTCAGTGTCACAGAATGAAGGCACCTCAAACAGGGGCTGTGCATAGACTATATTCAACTTCACTGTTAAATTTTATCCAGGAGAGGGGCTGTGGCTCAGTGGCAGAGCATCTGCTTGGCATACAGAAAGCCCAAGGTTCAGTCGCTGGCATCTCCAGTTAAAGAATCTGGCAGTAGATGATGTGAAACATCTCTACCTGAGATCCCAGTGAGCCACTGTCTGTCTGAGTGGACAGTACATGCTGTGATGGCCCAGTGGTTGGCAGCAGTAGCTTCTAGGTGAGGATGGAAATAGAGAGTGGAGTTTGTATGATTATTTCTGTCCACGGTTGCTTGGTTAGCGGGTTGTGAAATAAAGAAAGATGGACCAATGGTCTGATTCAGTATAAGACAGCTTCATTTGTGTGTTCCAGCTCAGTAGTGGAGCATCTGCTTTACATGCAGATGGTCCCAGGTTCATTTCCAAGCATCTCCAGTTGAAAAGACCAGGTAGCAGGTCAAGGCAAGAACGTACTGTTAAATCCCTATAGAAATTGTGGAAGAACTATCTTTCGCTTACACTTACAGAAGGAAGGCAACAAAGCTCTTGCCTGTTTTACACAAATCTGAACTTTTTTTCTTAGTTTCTATGCTACTAAGTTTTTACAGCATTTTCATATCAAAAGCTGTAAGATGTGTATCAGGCATTTTTTAAACAGCAGTATGGTTGGCTGGACTGAACAAGGAGCTTTGGAACACCCATTAATCTTTTGTGCTCATTATGAGCGCTTGATTTGGCTACCTCTGCTGACCTGTGCAAGGGTTAATTAATACTTAAAGTGGCTCAAGTGTGAATGTGCTGTGCCAGCATTTTTGTTCATTATAGTCAGCAACCAATTCATTTATTCTTGGCTCTTCCAAAAGCATTTTTATGTCAATAAAGCAGTATAGTAAAAGAAAATAAACTCTTCCCATAGACAAAATCTGAATCTGCAATAAAAAATAAAATAAGAAATCTATGATTTGTGAATTTGAAAAAAAAGAAAGAAGACTTCAAGTTAAAAAAGTGACAGACAAGGATTGATAATGTAGATCTTTAATCTTAGAACATCAGAAATGGAGAAGAAAATGTCCAGCCTGGAAAAGCAAGAAAAACATGATGATGATGATGATGATGATGATGATGATGAGTTGTGAATCACCCAGTTCCTGCTACTGCTGGGCTTTGGGCAATGTACAATAACCATAAAAACATCAGTCAGTCAGTCAATGTTTATTACAGTCAAAATATAAAAACAATTAAACAGCATTAACAACACATTTTAAAAGTCAGATGGTGAATAGTCATTATTCCATTGTAGGCTGCTGGCTACTTCGTGGGCAGAGGGGAAGAGGGCAAGGCAAATATAAGACACAGATGAGGGTTCCAGCCAAGATGAAAACTGTCACTGTCATCAACAAAAGCCTGGTGGAACATCTCTGCCTTGTAGGCCCTGTGGAATTGTGTGAGGTCCCACAGGGCCCTGATGATGTTTGACAGGGAGTTCCACCAGGTTGGGGCCAGGACTGAAAATACCCTGGCCCTGGTTGAGGACAGCTGGATGTCTTTGAGGCCAGGGACCACCAGCAAATTGTTGTCCAAGGAGCGTAACGGAGGAGACGGTCCCAGAGATACATTGGTCCCTGACTGCTCAAGGCCTTATAGGTCAATACTATAACCTTGAACTTGACTTAGTGTTCCACTGGAAACCAGTGTAGCTGGCGCAGCACCAAATGTATATGTGCCATCCATGACATTCCCGTCAGGACTCGTACCACCTCATTCTGGATCAGCTGGAGCTTCCAGGTCAATCTCAAGGGCAAGCCAGTATAGACCGAGTTACAGTAGTCTAGTCAGGAGGCGACCATTGCATGGATTACCATGGTTAGGTCAGGGTGCAATAGGAAAGGGACAAATTGCTGAGCCTGATGCAGAAAAATTCCAGCCTGGCAATATGTATGACTTGGGCCTCCAAGATTACTCTCAAGCTCTTAATGGACTGCACCGGTATCAGTGGCACCCCATCAAGAGCAGGCACCCTGTGCCCCAGTCCTGAAACACCTCCCCCCACCACAGAACTTCCATCTTGGTTGGATTCAGTTTCAACCTACTCTGTTTCAGCAACCCAACTGCAGCCTCCAAAACTGTGGCCAAATTATGTGGCCGTCCAATAACAGATACAGCTGAGTGTCATCAGCGTATGATGATTATGAAGGAAAGATGGGACATTGCTGCTGGATGACACTGATCCTGTTTTTTGAGGATTGAGGAGACGCGGGGAAAATCACGCGAAGCTGCGGGGCAAAATGCGGCTGCGCAGCAGCTTGTGTGAAATTGACACATACCATCCGGGCAAAAGGGAAGAGCGAGCATGGAGCAGCGCTTGTGGGAAATTGGTCTGAGTAGCAGTGCTGTTATTACAGCCTTCCTTTTAATAGCTATATAAGTTCCAATACTTGATATTATGATGGAGCAGCATTCGGACACATGAATGGGGAGATGTGCTGCTTGCTACAAAAATTGTCCAGTAGATCCTCAGGGTACCCACATAACCACACAGCACGCAGCGCTCAAGAGAAAAATTAAGAGTGGGAAAGAATCACATTTTTCTAGCAACACAACCATGTGTCTCTTGTGTTGGGAGAATGCAATTTTCCCACAACACAAATGATTCCTTGAGGGGGAAAAAATTATTCCTTGAGGGGGGGAAAACCAATAATAGTGCACATAACCAATGTGCATTCAGTTCTGGAGAAAGATCTCCTGGATGGTGATGCAAGTTCTACTGGCCGGGAAGACCGAGCCAGATTTCTCATGTGAGACAAATCCAAATATTAACGCTTTAGAAGTTTCTGAAAATAAGAAGAATGTCCTACTTTGTGAATGTCTATATTCAGAACCTCCCTGAAGGGAGAGTCGCCCCCCTCAAGCGCAACAAGTCTTGGCATAATGCTCACAAAAGTATAAAATTCAGTTACATAAGAGTTCTTTAGTAATGCTGCCCAGTGAATTGGTACCAACCAGAATAGACAGTCTGCAAACCTCAAACCACTGGCTTCAAAGAAAAGGAGTGATCTTTCTTCTGTGAAGTGGGCTCCATGATGTTTCACTTGTCTGTCTTTTGCGGAAAGGCTAATCAGGCTGTATGTAAGAAAGATTTTTTCCCCTTATGGCTCATGAGGTGCCTTCTTGTTTCATAAAATAAGATGTGTATCAGATAGAAATGTGCACCAGAAAAAAAACAGTATCTGAATTTGGGGGAGATGATAATTATTGGTATGTGGGGTTAGTTAGGTCCCATATACTGATTTGGTATCTGGATTCTGCCCCCCCTTCAGGATTCCAAAATTACTTAGATCCTTTATTCCCTATGGGGATTTTTTCTGGGGAGCTGGAGGGGCTGTTTTTTTGAGCAAATAACACTAAAATTTCAGCTGAGCTACTGCTGTGAATCCCCTAACCCCTCCCCCAAGTTTCAGGTGAATTGGACCAAGGGGTCCAATTGTCTGGGACCCCGAACAAGAGGCCCCCAGCTATCCTGCATTGTTTCCTATACAGGAAAATAATGATGATTTCGCCAGGGCAAAGAATAACCAAACACACGAGAGCAAGCAATCATTGGCCAACAGCCTCCCAAGCCAATAAGACCAACAGAATCAGCATCAAACCATAGAATCCATTCCCAGCAGAACCACAAGCCTATGTGGCAAGCCCAACACATCCAATGTCAAGCCAGAGAATCCAATCCAATCCAACTGAAGCAAGTTGAGGGACATTATTTCCAGCTCAAAAGAACCAGTGTCAAACCAGAGAATCCCAGTACCACCAACCTGGCAAGCTTTTCTTAACATGTGATCCTATTTGCCTGTGAGAGCTGCTTCCCTCCCTGCTGCTGCTCAGGAAAACTACAAAAGGCTATCTGTCTAACACCCCCAAGTTTGGAGACTTAAAATGCCAGCCCTGAATATGCCCAAATATTTCCAGGAATATTCAGGATCAGGATACCAGTATTTGTGTGACTCTCAGATATCTTTCTGGATCCTGAATATACCCAAAAAGTACAGTTAAAGTTTTGGGGTACATTTTTGGACCAGATATATTCAAGCACACATCTCTGGTGCCAGAATGTATAATTCAGCATACACGTGTGACTTTAAAAGCACTAAGAAAAGGGAAATGGAGGGCCTACTTTGGTGAGGAAATGGCAAGAGATACCACTGCTGGATATAAGAGAATCTTTACCTAAAGCTGCTTCAAATATTACCTAATATTACAGCTGAATAATTGTTCTGCAATACATTTTGCTGCTGTTTGGCACCACATTAAACCTCTTGGCTACTATTGCTGCTTCATATTCTTTTCCTTCTTCTCTTCCTGTTGTATCCAGAAGGCCTGGCATGAAAATCAGGAGGCAGCACAGTTTTAAAAGATACAAAATTTAATAAAGAAGTTCATTCTCTGCACAGTTAGAGTAGTCCAGAACCTAATTTGCTTCTTGATCTTCCTCCTCCTCTTCTTGTTTGGTTCTTCTAGTCCACTGTAAGTTCTGGAATAGATTTGAATGTGGTTAATTCACGATAGTCTAAAATACTGGCCTGGATCAATAATGGAGTTGCCACAGAAGCCACACTGCCCTCACAGTGGTGCTCTTTGGTCATATAGCTGTTCAGTCTGATTGGCTGCAATGACCCACATGATTTGGTTTAAGAGTATCCATGATGTCAGCACACCAACTTTATCAGTGACCAACCAATAGGGGTTGCCACAGCCAATAGCATTAAATATCCGAGTTTGCAAACAATGAAACCAGTGAAGGCAAAGAAGGACCCAGTTTCAGAGAAGAATAGCCTCAAAAACACTGTGCATGAGTTTGTGCAAGTGCAGTAGTGCGAAAGTGAGTACAAACGGAAGTAAGCAGAAGAGCAAGATTTTGAGTCCAGTAGCATTTAAAAACCAGAAAGTTTTCCCGGGTGCAAGCTTTCAAGAGACAAAGCTCCATTCATCTGACTTCATTTGAAAGCTTTTATCCTGGAAATCTTGTTGGTCCTTAAGGTTCCACTGGCCTTCAGTCTTGCTGCTCTACTGCTGACTCTCATGGCTACCTATCTAAAAATGAACTGAGCTGATTCATGTTCTCTCGAGCCTGGTGAAGACCACTGACTTAGCAAATTCTGGAAAGGGCTTGGACATGACAGAGATTCCTAGAGAAATACAGATTGATATGATAAATACTCCATGACATCTTTACATCTCTCCCTCTTACAGGTTCACTATCTTATGGTTCTATCTGCCAACTGGGCCTATGTGAAAGATGCTTGCAGAATGCAGAAGTATGAGGATATTAAGTCAAAGGAAGAACAAGAGCTTCACGATATTCATTCTACCCGCTCTAAAGAGCGACTCAATGCGTACACATAAGAAAAACCTTATCTTCCTTTCTACCATTGAATGCTTTGTTGTTTAACTAAAGGCCATCCATTTGTCCATTTTTAAAACAAAATGAAAAGTGCTTCTCACAAAAGATAGTTTGGGTGGCGCATAACTACCCTGTACAATTCTTGGTTGTCCAGCACTTGGTTTCCTAATTAGTTGATAGCTTGTGTAACCAGTCTCCTACTACAAAGCTCCTGAAACAGCCTTTCCTGAATCCTAAACCAATTATTTTCTGTTACATCAAGAATACTAACTATTGTCAAATACGGAAATGTGTTTGATTTTTTTAAATCACTTTGTATGTGTTATGCATAACACCTTTTTGCATTGTTTCTTATATGTTTTTGAAATGAGAAAAATAGCTTTTTATACTTTTTAGTTTCATTTTCGGTAAGTACTTTAACTACAGGTATACTTCAAAGGGACCACTGTACACCACGTACAATTTCTCGAGGAGGCACACTGCTGACATTCCTTCAGATTTGGAAATCATGCCAGGTGGACCAGTGAACATCTTGACTGAGGGTCCTGAGAACATTTTCAACTATCAAAGGTGCAATTTCTAAATTTGTAAGAGTAGGTAAAAACACAAAAAGAAGTGCTTCTTATCTTTGTTAACATTGTATGATTCTTGATGTACTTATCGGAGTATTCTCTCTTTTAAAATTTCATTGGTGGCTATTCCTGTTTTATCTTGTGAGCATGCAGATTGTGATGCTTGTAATGCATGGCCATTTGTCTTTTTTCAAAACATATAATACCGCCGTGATCTTTCAAGAGTTGCAGTGTATAGACAAATGTTCCATAGAGCTATGCGTAGGTTTCTGCAGAATGATTGCCATGTAATTCCACAGTGGTTATGCTGAACTGGAGCTGTTCCTGTGCTGATGTGACCAACTGCTGTTTAGCTACATTTATGAAAGTGATATATCTATAACACAGCAATCTTTAAGAGTCAGAAGTATTTTTACCTGCTTTAAAAAATTTAAGTGGATTGCACCTGTATGAACTATACATATACTGTATGTGATATATTTAAGGAGGCTTCCATAAATGTAATAGCTTGGCTTCGTAGCTTTCCTACACACAAACCGGTTTACCTGTATTATGTTAAAGTGAGGTTAATGGCTGCTACTGGAGCTATTGTTTGGAAGTGTTAGTAATATATTTGAACCTTTATTTTGAGTAAGAAAATATTAAGAGAAAAGTCAGTCGTTAATCTGAAAGAAGTACCTGTATCAAATAATACAAAAAAAGCAAAAAAAGGAAAAAAATCAGTATTATTGGACCAAAATTGGTGGGTTTTTAATTTTTTTTTGCCTCTTTCTAATGCTACAAGAATGCTGTAAAGTGTCTTTTAAGTGATGTATCCTGACAAGACATTTTTGTCAGTGTTAAAAAAAAATCCTAGCTAGTTTTGTGCACTTATTGGACCATTGTGAATTCTCTCTTGGTGTAAGTGCATTTCTAATAAAAGTTCTTGAGTAAAACTCTTCTTTGTACTATTACTAGTCATGCATCATCAGTAATTTTTAACAATTCTTGTAGTAAGTAGAGGGTAATACTATAGTTACTTGTGGCATGTTTATGCATCAAGTAGTATTAGTTGATTTGGAGTTTTGGGTTTTATTATTTTTATTCCTTTTTTATTTTTTACACTTTACTGTCTAACGGGGTCACAAATTCTGATGTGCGCAGTACCAGTATTTACAGTTCTGCAGAAGGTATTATGAACCTCTTTTGATTCTATATTGTAGTGTTTCAGTTCTGTGTCTTACAACAGTTTGTGATGATTTTTAAAACAATGTCTTTTAAACTCATGTAATGATGTTGATGCTTTTGGCTTTTCTCTGGTATTAGAGTTTGTATTTTCACAAAGAATGCTTTGTAGCAGGCATTACAATTAATCTGTTTTGTACATAAATGTGCCAACAGCTTGATGGTGGCGTTTTTGAAATGTAGACCCAAGTGCTTGCAAAAATGTAATAAATACACTTGTGTACTTTGTGTACTTATTAGTTGTCCTTGCTTCATTTTTTCCCTATTAGAAAGATGTCTTATTGTTGAAAAAAAATCAGTGATTTGTTGAATCATTACAGCCAATCAGTTATTATTTTGGAATTTTCTTAACTGGTATTTTATAGAAATTGTTCTCCCAGGAATCTATTATAACCCTCTTCAGCTTTAGTTTAAAGATCCACTTCCCTATTGACGTTAATGTCTTGAGCAAGCAAAGATTTTGCCATTTGTTTTAATGTCTGGGACAGTTGCCCCTGTATGGTTTTCAACATCCAGGTGGTGGCTGGAGAACTCCTGGAATTACAGTTTTCTCCAGGTGACAAAGATCAGTTTATCTGGAGAAAACAGCCCCTTTGGAAGATGGAGTCTATGCCACTATACCCCACTGAAGTCATTCCCCTCCCTAAATCCCACCTTCCTCAGGCTCCATCCCAAAAAACTCCAGGTATTTCCCAACCTGGAGCTGGCAATCTAACTTCCACAGAACTCTGGAGAGGACAGAGTGACTCCAGAATCCCAGGAACCACTTTGGGGATTCTGTTCTGCCTGCATGTCCTCCTCCCTACTTTTGTTGTTGGGCTTTGTGCTCGATTAAGAAACTATCTTAGATCCCTTCTGAAGGATTCTTCTCTTGCTTTATAGGCTCTCTGAGGCCTAGCTAGGATCCAGCTTCTATATTCTCAGAGCTCTCTCTTCCAACTTACATCTCAGCTGTCAGGTCAGATTCTAGCCTTGAAACTTT